AGCTCTTTATATATTTTGGATGTCAATCCTTTATCGGATCTGTCATTTATGAATATATTCTCCCATACTGTAGGGTACCTTTTTGTTCTATTGATGGTGTCCTTTGCTGTACAGAAGCTTTTCAGCTTGATATAGTCCCACTTGTTCATTTTTGCTGTTGTTTTCCTTGCCCAGGGAGATATGTTCAAGAAGAGGTCACTCATGTTTATGTCTAAAAGGTTTTTGCCTATGTTTTTTTCTAAGAGTTTTATGGTTTCATGACTTACATTCAGGTGTTTGATCCATTTTGAGTTTACTTTTGTGTACGGGGTACGGGGGAGGGCTGTTCAACACAGAGAAGACAAGTAGTGATTTTACAGCATCTTACTATGCAGATGGACAGCGACTGTGAAGGGGTATGTGGGGGGGACTTGGTGAAGGGGGGAACCTAGTAAACATAATGTTCTTTCTGTTATTGTAGATTAATGATACCAAAATTAAAGAAAAAGAAAACAGAGTGAACAAGAAAAGAAAATTCTGTAATCCTATTGGTTTAATTTTTTTTCTATCCACCTGTATTTTAAACATATATATTCTCCTGTATTTTGTTTTCTGTATTTTTTATCTATAGGTCAACTATCTATAACACCTTTCCATGTTGAATTTTTAAATTATAGCCTGTTTTTCTTGTATATATGGTTTATGCTTTCTTTGGTAATGTCTTATGTGTGGTAAAATATACAAATTTAGCATTTTTTAAATTTATTTAAGTTGTTGAAAAATTATTTAAAATTGTGTAAAATTTTAAAATGTGTTTAAAAGTAAGCAAAATTTACTATTTTAGCCTTTTTTTAGTGTATAATTCAGTAGTGTAAAGTACATTCATAATATTCTATAACATCCTTTTAATGCAGGGTGGTGTTATATTAAAAACCATCATATATTTAACAGAATCTTTATTGTTGGACATCTAAATTGCATCTATGATTTTCTATAAATAATGCTATGATAAACATGCTTGATGGAAAAATCTCTGTTTAAATAATACTACCTTTGTTTCTAAAATGTGGTGCCAGTTTATACTCAGATTATCAATGTGTGAGCATGATTCTATTTCACCACATTCTCCCTGATAGCAAGCATTCTTTTTTATGTTATATTTTAGATCTAAAAGTGTTAGTAAAGAGTGAACACGCACTTTGCTATTTTGCTTCAAAGTTAAAATGAGTATTTTTTAGAAATTCCAAGTATGTTAAAAAGTATTTTATTTTAACTGTTTATTAGTGAAGAAAGGAAATTAGTTCTCAAATATTGTTAATGCGTTGATTAGGGAAATGTGAGTTTGCATTCAGACTTTAGTCAAATCTAGAGAGCAGGAAAACCATTAAATCTTCATGGGTAAGGAAAGCCCTATGGCCCAGTTGAAGGAAAAATAGGGCTGTGATAGGAGGAAGAAGAAGGACACTGAAGTTTAGAGAATTAAATGGACCCTAACATCTATAACGTTCTGCAAATACTAAACAAACAACAAGGTAGTGATAATAACCTTTGTAAATAACCTGTACTTTTGGTGTTCCATTTAGTAACACAGAATTGACCTCTATTCACCCCAGATTTTCAGCTTTATGTAAAGGATATTTTCTGTTGGAACCAAATCTGACTTTGTGACACATATCTGGAAAAATGTCTTTTACTTGGGAGAGTTCTTCTTAGACCCTCCTTACCTTGAATTAGTGGATTTCTACAAATATTGTGGAGGACATATCTTGAAGTCTTTTTTCTATTTTCTATATACTCCTCATGTATTTAGTTTATATATGCGTGATTGGGGGAAGATATGACTCTTTCAGTTGCCTTTTAGTTTTATTTAAGATACCATTTTTTAACATTACATAGTAAGTACTAAGGAGGTAGAGATACCTAGCCAAGAAGACCTGATACAGTTTAAGGTAGGAAAGGAAAAACCGTGAATAAAGGTATTGGCTTGTAAAGATAAAAATGGTAATATTTGCAGGTTCCTTTTTCTGTTGTTGTTACTCCATTGCAATGTAGCTTGTAATTTCATCACTGCTGTAATTACTTTAAAATTACCAGTGGCTTTTTTCCCTTCTCCATTGATCTTGGTAAGTCCTTTCTGTGCCAGACTTTGCCTACTATGACTGCCCTTTGACTCCCAAGATGTTCTTTTTGGTAATTCTTACCTTTCTTGGTGTTTGCCTAGTCCTTAGACTGCTTTAGATCCTTTCTCCACCCCTCCCCCATCTGAAAATTGTGAAACTTCTCACCGGTCTCTGGTTCTCTATATAGTCCCACTTGTTTGCAATATCATTTCCTCAGACTCAATAAATCCCAACTTGAATGGTTTCACTTCAATACCCATTTCATTTACTTTGGCCGCCAGTCTCAAGAGTAGGTATTTTGGCATTACTTTTAGTTCTTTTAGTTGTTTTAGTTTTAGTTCTTCCCTTTCAAACTCTTGTTACCAAACTGTCACCACATATTTCTGGTATCCAGATATTCCTCTTCAATTTCCCTAGTGTAAAGTTGAGGGCTGTGACTTTTCTTAGGTTTGGTTGTTAGTGTATTTAAATATTCTTTATTAAAATTTGTATATATTTTGTCTTCTGAAGCATGAGGGGAAAGTGAATGCCTTGGACAGGCATCTTCTCTCGTTCATTTTTCGAGCAGTTACCTAGCACAAAATGGGTGTTGAAGAAACGTTTTTTGAATGACTTGCCCAAAGAACAAAAGAAGAACTTTCTTGGTTCTGAGTCTCGTGAGAAGAGAGAATCCATTTAATGGCAGCCAACTTTTTATCCTTTTTGCTATAAGACACAGTAGTGCAGTTGTTCGTATTTGTTGATAATGTTAAAGGAATTCTAATGGTTTGTGTTACAGAATTGTTTGATTGTATAAAATCTTTTCCCTGCTTTGTTTTAGGTTTTGGAAGGAAGGATGTCGTAGAGCACTTACTGCAGATGGGTGCTAATGTCCATGCTCGCGATGACGGAGGTCTCATCCCGCTTCATAACGCCTGTTCTTTCGGCCATGCGGAGGTTGTGAGCCTCTTACTGTGCCAGGGAGCTGACCCAAATGCTCGGGATAACTGGAACTACACCCCTCTGCATGAAGCTGCTATTAAAGGGAAAATCGATGTGTGCATTGGTGAGTATTATTTGATGATCTTTAAATTGTAACATCAACCTGACAGTTATACAACTGTAAGGAAAAGTTTACTATTCTCTCTTGTTTTTTATTGTGGTGGAAATTGTGTTCCCTTAGAGTAAGAAAACAAGGCTTTATTACTTATCTCTGACTCAGTTCTTTTCCTTCAAAAGGCAAGTGGAGTGATGGTATTAAAGTTGGTGAAGAACAAGATTCACGACATTAACTCTCAAAATGCAAGTCAAATGCCAACTGATGTGGAACTAAATTTTGATGGATTACCATTATCAAATATAGTTAATTTACAGTCTCTTTAAAAGACTGCAAACTTTCCATCTTAGCATCTAATGAGAGCTGTTGTAAAGTACAGATTCTTACTGAGTTGGATGACATATTTGGATGCTCTGGGTTGATTCAAGGAAGGTCACCTAGTACTAAAGCAAAGCCTTTTTTCTTTATGTTACTAAAATTGAACCCCAGCCATTTTATTAGGCCTGGGAAGTTTTGAGTGAGTGGTTTGAGTACAGTAAAGTTTTAATATTTTCAACATGTGCCATAGTCTGGAGAAAAAAGCCATTTCTAACAAAATAGAACTTTTCAACCATTTTAAATATTGAGATTATATGAAATTGAATTCAATCAGCATTTCTTTCTCTTTTATATATATATATATACACACACACACACACAAACACATACACATTTTAGATTTTGTTTTATTATGTGAAAAAACATTTCGTCTTGAAATCTAAAACAAGCTTCTGGAGGATATAGTTTCTCTTAAGCATAGTTTCTTGATACTCAATATGGTGGATGTTTGTTTAGCCCGTGGCAGGTTGGTTTGCTTAACTGCTACCTTCCTGGATGACATCCATTTCAGTTTTATGATAAACTGATTATCTTTATGATAAAACTCAAATATATATGTCATTTTAAAAGATAGAATGGCAGTGCCATTATTAAGATTTTCTCCCTCTTTGTAGCCATCTACTTAGGCCTCCAACATGTTTTTCAGTTTTCCTCAAATCATTGCAATCCCTGATATCACTTCTTCAGCACATTCTCTGTCATTATCCTTTGTTACTTCAACATCCATTGCCATGACCTTTTGAGTACCCTTTTTTTCATCTATTTTCCGTTGATTCCCCCATTTTCTCCTAAGTAAGCATTACCTCCCAAGTCTCTCACTAAAACAGCCACATTCTGGACCAAGTCGGTATGTAAAACAACCCTCAAAAGCTTGAATTTATAACATTATCTCTGACCACAGAACCAGTTAAGTTACTTGTGATTGGCTACTGTGTGACAACTATTATTGAACTTGGTATATATAATATACTCTGACTTTCAGTTTCCCTAACTTGATCCCCCTTTGCTTCACCTTCTTTTCATATTCATTGGACTTGTCTGTCATTAGTCATAGAATTTTATATAGTTGTCACCTTCTTGAAATACTATCCTTTTTAGGCGTCAGTGTTCTGTTTTCCTACCTGTACCTCTGAATTTTTCATTCTATCAGTGCTTTTAATATCTTATTGAAATTAAAATTCTTTTCCTCCTCCTCTGAATCCCTATCCGGAAAGTACTTAATGAGCATGCTTCTTTTCTCTAGGTTCTTTTGAAATAAAGGACTTGATATAGGACTTTATCATTATCAGTGATATTTTTTATCTAACCTCATTTTAAAGACTATGAAGAATTATATAAAAACAATCATTACTTTTTAAATGAGTGACGTATATTAGGTAGGTCATTTAGAATATCTCTGATTTTTTCACTATTGTTTTATAAACAGTATTATAGAGAATATCCTCATTAAATATATATGTAAACTTTAATTACATTAGGATAAATTGCTGGAAACTCACAGCTTCTTAATAAGAACCAAAGAAACTGTAGCTGCTAGAGAACTCCACTAGGACTCTTGATGTAGTCTCTCACATTATCTTAACTGTAAGTCCTCCATAAATGAGCGAGGTTAAGAAAAGTCATTTCTCACACCTTCCTTACTCTCTGTAAAAATTCACTGAAAATTCAGTGAGAATTTGATTTCAGTTGGTTTTGTTTCATTATTGTCTCTTTTGCTTTCAGTATCTTCCTTTGGCATTTTTAACATCAGTTTTCCATATAAAAACTGAATTGGGATTTTTCTAAACAAGTCCCTATGTAGCATTTTCATAAAAAGTTAAAGTTAGCAAAATTCCATTCTTGTATCCTTAAAAAGGAGAAGAACTAAGAATGATAGTAGTTTTTCCTTCTAAAATAATCCCTACTGACAAAGAGCACCGCTCTCTTGATGACTTGCCTGCTTACATTCAACTGCTTTCAAGAGGGTTAGAGTATTTATACATTTACCTGATAAATTTGGGACTACTTTAGTAGGCATTCTGGCTAATGGTGGTAAATACATATATTTATATATTTGTTCATTGCTTTCTATTAGAATTCTCAGAATAAATGCCTTCATTCTGTTAAGGACTCAAAAAATATATCAAAGATATTTAAATTAGAAGAAAAAAGTTAAAAACACAAGGACAACAAAAACCCTCCTACTTTTAAAAAATGATACAAGCCTTTGCTTATTACTCTGTTAAATGAGTTAATGATACATCTGCATTTACTTTTAGATGAACCATGATGGTCCAAAACAATCTGTGGATTTCAGTGAGATGCATGGCTTAAGTATGGGGTTGTACGAAAATGGAATTTGAGGCAAATGGCTCCTGTCATCAGTCAGCCTCTTGCCTTACATAGTTATCGTGTCATCTGACACATGCAGATTAGAACTGTGTCCTTGTGTGGCGCAGTTGTGCAGTAACTGAGATTTCAGAGGCAAGTCCATGTGGGAGAAAAAGATTTATGCAGTCCTTCGCACTCCTCATTTTCAACTGACCAAACTAGAAAGTTGTTAAATATGATAATTGCAGTTTCAGGCTTCAAAAAATGTTATGTACTCTGATTGTTTTAGTTCTTGAATCATTGGAATCTGTTAATTCTCTTTGTAAAATGGAGTGGGTGTTAAATCTTTCATCTTTAAACAGAATCCAGGGTTAAAAATGCAAATCTTAGTTGTTTCATATTCTGCTCTCACATGTGACAGTAAAAATCAGACATTAAAAAAATCCAGCAATGTGTCCAAATACATGTTATTTTATATCAAGCCTGAAAATTTCTAGATTTGCTGCGCTACAAATAATCATGGTTAGAAATAGAGGGCATATATTTTATTTAGCCTTTTGGGGCACAGTATTGAGTGTTGATCTTTTGAAAGAATATGCTTGACCAATGAGGACTGAGAGAACAAGAGCAGGAAATATTCTAGTGGTTCTCTTAGAATGGAACCCTATCTGTCATACATATTATTTCAGAGTTATGGTTTCATGCTTTCTCATAGGGAAATTGTTTGATGGGATTCAGAAGAGGACATTGCCTGTGGGAGGTAAGGTATTTAGGACAAATGTGTAGATGTGCCTTTCAGATTCACCTAAGGGAAAGCAAGCCTGAGTTAAGATATATTAAAAAAGCTCTGGGGTGATCTTGGTTTCTACTTGTACAAGTAGAATGATAAGGTAAAAATGAATGCCTGGCTTTAGAATTAGGGAAGGATTCCACTTTCCCACTGAAAAACTGATCTTGTACAAATAATTTAGTTGCTTTGAGCGTCAATTTCTCATTTATAAAATGGGCATCATTCCTACTGCAGCAGGTTGTTATGGGAAGTTAAATGAAATAATAATGCAGGTCCAGCCTCATAAAATGCTTTTCTTTCCATTTTCTTTTCCCTGGAGTGGCAATGGTAAGGTGTTCTCATAGGTCATTTTTATTCTGACACTCAGTAAAAGCTTAATGGTGGACTGGGTGGTAATTACCATATGCTACTCTTTATAGTCATCAATATGAATTAGTTTATGTCCTTTGTTTCATATCATTTGTCATTTTGTATACTTGAATTATGATTTGATAAGACATGAAATCAGTTTTATTTTTCCATTGCACTTTAGGTTTTTTAACCTAGTCAGTTGGAGACATTGCACATAGGATAATGGAAAATTATTAATGTAACTTAAACATTTTTCCTACAAATGTTTCAGTAGCAAGAGTATAAAGTTTTAGTGATGCTCTGACTAAATATAAAGTATATGAAAGCTTAACAAGTGAAGAGGTGTGAACAATGATAGTATTTCTTAAGGCAAATTAATTATGAGTAAATACTTCCTCAAGCTGCCAGAGGGCATCGTAGTTGCTGTTTCTGAAAATTGCAACCCACTAGGAATTGAGAAGGGAAAGGGCAAGGAAGAATTATGTTGAAAGAAAAGGCACTTTTCCTCCTCAACATGGGGGAAGGGAGCTTAGTTGGGATGTGAAAATATGATCGAATACCATCAGTAAGAATATTGTCAATAGGATATTTATTGAAACCAAGAGAAAAACAAAAACTTAGTTTTAAAAAATTATTTGATATATTTTCCAAAGAATTCAAACTTGAGTTGTATTCTTTGTCTCCTTCAGATTGAAAGTACAACAATATATTGAGGTTTTAGTCTGTGGAATCAATTCTCAGAGGTACAGGAAAATAATAGTAGTGATAAAATTTCTAAAGAAACTGAAGTTCAAAACAGAGCCGGAATATAGAGGTCCAATCCTGTGTTCCTTGTGGAAAATGACTATAAATAAGTAACTTCAAACCTTTTATCTAATAACACTAAAACAGATTTCATTGGGTCTTCATGTTTTATCCTAATGAGGAGTTCACCTGGAATTCTTGTAAGTCCTTGAGGCCTTGAGAGAAGGAATGTGGGGTGCACAATTTAGGGAAGGGTTCAGAAAGACAGGCAAAGGGTCTGCTCTTCTCTTCCAGAGGCAGATTGGGAAGCACCTTTTGCGTGTGGTCATTGTCCTTTAGAACTGTAAAAATTCTCTGATCCTGTTATAAACTTACATAGTTAGACTGTAAAGTCATCTTCTTTATTCCTTATTAGTGTTTCTTTTAGCTGAGTCTA